TTGCTTTGGTAATGGAATTAGATCACCATCCAAAGTTCTTCATTTAAGCACTTATCATGGAACAGCATGTTCTTTCCATTTCCTGTCTAGCCTCATGAGTCTCCTCTCCTAGTTTTAAAGTTGCACTCATGCCCCTGCTGACATACACAGATCTCAACTTAGCTCCAGGCCTGCTGCAACCAGCTACATAGTTCATGAGCAAGGGGAGTTCTTTTTTTTTAATAGTGTTTAATTTTTTCCCCAATTACATGTCAAGACAATTTTTAGCATTCATTTTTACAACATTTTGAGTTCCAAATTTTTCTCCCTTCCTCCCTCCCTCCCCTCTTAAGCTTGAAGAGCAGCCTTGCTGGCTCATGTCTATGGAGTCTCATTAGAAGAACCTGATGACATGCAGGGGCAGAATTGCTCTTTTGACCTAACTGGAAGATGCCTTTTCATAAGTCTTGGTCCCTGGTCATATTCAAGTTAGTCCTCTCTCTTAATAAGCTCTGTCTTTTCCTCTGACACTGAACTACATCTGTGACTTATTACCTTGGAAATCTAACATCGTTTTATTTTCAGTGTGGAAGGAGGTTGACTTCAACTGAATACAGTATCATGTGACTTTTTTTCACCCCTCTAATTGCAATGAGCTAATTGTTTGAATCTTCAACTCCACCTATAAAGCCAAACATTTACTGAAAATCAAATCTTCTGAGGAAGAATCCATACAAAAGATGATTTAAGATGTGTCCAAATATAGAGGTAGGAACCCTCCCTCCTATTCAATCAATCAAAAAGCATTTGTGAAGCAACCACTGTGTGCCAGGTATTGTTAGGTGTTGGGCATATGAATGCAAAGAGTCAAAGAGCCTCAGAAGCTTGCATTCTACCTTGGATTGATTAATCTTTTGTTGTTCAGTCATTTTTTTTTTCAGGCCAACTCTTTGTGGTATCAAACTCAAGTAGAAACCCAAGTGTATATAGATCCCTACAGGCTGAATATGCACTTAGAAAATCTCAAATTTACCTTATCTATGCTTTATTGCATTTTTATTTATTTTAATAAACATCTCCAATTACATTTTATTTTGAGTCCAGGCACACTTGGCCTCTTTTGCCACCTCTATAGTAGAAAATCTGCTTCCCATATCTCATAGCTTACGTCTGTTTCATCCCTACCACCATTCCACACCCTCTGAGGGGACTCTAACTAAGAAAGACAGAAAGAAAGGGAGAAAGAAAGAAAGAAAGAAAGAGAGAGAGAAAGAAAGGAAAAAAGAAAGGAAGGAAGAAAGAAAGAAAGAAAGATAGAAAGGAAGGAAGGAAGAAAGAAAGAAAGAAAGAAAGAAAGAAAGAAAGAAAGAAAGAAAGAAAGAAAGAAAGAAAGAAAGGAAGAAAGAAAGAAAGAAAGAAAGAAAGAAAGAAAGAAAGAAGGAAAGAAAGATTCTATTTTCTTATCCATGATTCATCTATACTTTTGTGTACATTACACTATACTGTAAGGTCAAAATCAGTTGAGGGGATGGATGTAACCCAAACTATGCATAGATTGGATCTAATGCTTTGGGGAGACAGTGTAGGACAGTGGAAAGTGTGCTAGATTTGGAATCAGTGGACTAAGGTTTGGATCCTGGCTCTTACTGACTGTTTCTGAGACCTTGGGCAATTCATTTAACCTCCATGAGCCTCAGTTCCTCACCTAATTCTATAATCCTCATAACTCAAAGTTTCCTTTCGGCTCTAGATTTATGACTTTATGGTCCTGATGGAGTAGCAGACATTCAGTATAGCTAAGTTGAGTGATGGTGATAGTGCTTTCTCAAGGCCATCACTTTTAGACCTAGGATTCTGTGATCAATAAACATTCAATAAATAGCTCTTCTCCCTGTCTCCAAGTGGGTTCTTTTTAGATTTTAAAAGTCTATCCCACAAGGCCATCTCACAAACCTATAGAACTGATTGACCTCTGTCAGGCCCCTGCTATGTCTCTGAAGAATCTTTAAAATTTGAAGATTCCATGAAAACTCTTGAAATTTTAAAGGTTACACTAGTGCTATGGAAGAGCAAGTTAGTATGACAAGAAGTGGTTTCTGAGGCCAACCTTACGCTAGAGGGAGTCCAAATGACCTAGAATCTCTTCCACTCTCCTCTCTTTTTGTTCACTCCCATCACTAAGTGTAGTTATTAGGTAATCAAAGCAGGTAGATGAGTTACTAATTCTGATTCATGTGAGATATTCCTTATTTAGGAAAAAAAGAGAATGGTGTATGCAACAATAATGTGAGTGCCCCTGGTTAAAATATCACCTTAAATAAAAATTATTTTCAGTGGAAATTCTTAGAGTAGGGGCTAAGGACTACACTTATTTTATTTTATTTCTTGTAAGTGAGAAAACCCTCTCTACTAAAGCAGGAAGTGAGAAAAAACTACCAAAGCAGGTGAGCATTTTCTCTGCAAGCTTCTGAGTTACATTGAGATGTTAAGTCACTTGTCCGGGGTTGTATAGTCAGTATGTGTCAGAAATTGGACTTAAATCTAGGCCTTCTTGGCTTCCAGACTGACTACTCGCAGCCCAAAGGCCAAGGTCCCCTACTGCATCCTGGACCATCTCCAATTGTCCTGATCTATATGTGGCCACTGGACCCAGAAGGCTCAGGAGGACAAAGTGAGGCTGGTGACCTTGCACAGCCCTCCTTCACTTAAATAAAATTCACTTTCATGTCATGGCACCACCTCCCTGATGTCATGGTGTTCTTTGAGAATGAGGAACAAACAACAATACTGCCTCTTAATTATTACAGTGCATTAGCTATCTCCTTCGTAACCGAGAAAACCACTTCTTTCTCCATTTATCCTCTTGGATCGCCCCTGCCATAAAGAGAGGCAGCCTAACTTTCCATCGGCTTTTCCATAGGAAGGTAAATTAAGGGCAATTCAGGATAACGGGCAAAAGGAAGCAATAGAAGGGACGAGAACACTTCTACCATCTGGAGTTGTCACAAGCATAGATTTCCCTCTCTCCTGAAAGAAGAAACTTGGGACCTTACTTTACTCAGATGCAAAGGCTCACTGCCACTGTTTCTCCCACAAATGCCTTCTCTCTACTCCCAATGTCATTGTCAGACCTTATGAAAAATCCCCTGTGGCCTCTGCAGGGCTATGAATGGACTGAAAGATTCATTTGCTGTCACCAGCTGCCTAAACGCTGTGCATGAAACATGATTCCAACCATTAGGTATACCCCTAGGTGATCACCACTATCCTTAATGCCCATCTCAGAGGCAGAAAAGTTTCCTCCTGGATCTGATAAGCTCATGGCCATCTTAGAAGGGAAGCATATCATTTCCCAGAACGTTGGTGTCAAAATTTCGGCAACACATTGTACATGCCAGTTGTTGATTTTTCTCCATTCCCCTCCCTCCCCAAAGCCCCACTGTCTCTGTCACCCTGAACACCAACTTTTGGAGTGCTGTTTGGCTACAGAGAAGTAATAAAAAAAAAAAAACAGACACAAATGTTTCTTATTTCACATGAGATGTTTTGCATGCAAATCAAGCACTACACAGCAGCAAATGTGTTTGGCAAATGTGTTTTTACTTCTTAGGTACAACCAGTCTGTCGAAAAGACAGACAATTACTCTGGGAGAAGAAAGGGCCGATGTTCCAGAAATCAAAACTCAAAGTAAAATGTAAAGGTGCTCAGCATTTCTTTTTACAGGCATTCTCTGTTTACTGAAAGCTTCCTGAGGAGTCGTTATTAATTTCCGTAGAATTCAGCTACCTATACTCTGTTATTAGACTTTTTTTATAACGTCCCTGGCCAGTAGATGATAAGGTATGAAGCTTTGGTGTCAAAGTTTTGGCAACACATTGTTGCCAAACATTGCTCTCTTCAGTTTTCAGTCCATGGGGAAATGCTATGGCCATGGCAGCCTGACCCCTGTTACCTTCTGCTGGAGAAAAATTCAACATTCAATCCCCTTTCCTGCCCACTGGAGGTTAAGCATTCTGAGGATTCTTCTAGTCAGTCCATCCCCAGTTAGTGGACACTGGACAAGATTCCCCAGAGTCTGGATTCTATTAGGAGCCTTTATTTCCTCATCTGTAATTTGAGAATAATAAAACATCTCACAGGATTGTCATAAGGAAAACATTTGAAAATTATTAAAGTGCTATACAAATGTGAGATTGGTATTATTGCTATATTCTTGAAATATGTTTTTCTTCTCTCTCCAACTACTGGAGAGCTTTCTCCCACCTCATGGAGAATATAAGGTGGCATTGTTCAGCTGTGTCAGTGTAGGGGTGGGGCTGGACACTTGTGAGAGACTGTGGTCTGAAAAGGAGAATAACAGGTTGGCAGCCACTGTGACTAAGAACACACCAAAGTGATTGCCTTGGTAGCCACACCTTTGGCATGACTCAACTACCAGGGTCCACTCTGTGTACAAAGCAACTGGTACAGTCAATTCATAAGTCAAGGGTTAGAAATTCAATTATGCTAATAAATGAGCAAGAATGTTCATGAAGGCATGCTCTATATAAGAGAAATTAGACTTTTTGTGTGGTATGTCCTTGCTGGGGTGACTATCAAGCATAAGGATGCTGGAGCCAAAGGTTTTCTCTTGGGCTGGCAATTTGGGGGTTTCAGAGCTAAGACATTTTGTGCAATGATAAACTAGCATCAGGTGTGGAGTGTCATTGTTATGGGGCCTTGTGGGTACTGTTGTTATGGTGTTTTCCAGAGAGGATCCAGAGTAACAGCTCAGTGTGCAAATGGCAGTGAAGAACGAGAAGGCCAATCTAATCTGAGAGCAGCAAGCCTCTCTCTTCTCAGCTCTATCACCAAATGTGCCCCAGTTCCTGGAACTACGGGAAATCAAGAGCAGATGTTAAGCAGAGGAACACAGAGGATAAGGCTGATAGGCCTTATTGTAGAGGCCTTATTGTATTGCAGTGGCATTGCAGAGAGCATGGGAAATAGGACTGTAAGACTGGGTTCACTAGTGGGGTGGATGGCCCTAAGTGTCCTGAGTGAAGGTAAGCAGTGTTTGTGCCTGGCATGAGCAGGTTAAGCAGGAAATAAGAATTGAAGAGAAAAGGATCAGAAAAGAAGTTTAAAAGTAGGAAAAGAGAAAGAGAAAACAGAGCTACTTGTCATAGGTCCAGAGAGTTACTAATTACTAAGTTCCCTCCTAGAATGAAGGCTACATGAGGGCAAGAACTTAGTTTAACTGAGCCTTGCACACACACACACACACACACACACACACACACACACTCATCCCAGTCTGCAGCACTGTGCTGCAAAAGGTAGGTACTTAGGAAATGTTTGTTGATTATTGTCTTTCCTTTGGGGAGAAGTTTAACAATTTGGAGATTTAAAAGCCATGGAATTAGAAGGAAATATGTACATACACCATATCTGTGTAAATGATTTATTTTAACATGTTTTCTTTTAATATGTAAAGTCAATTAACTTAGGAACATAAAAATTGTTAGAAAATTTGATTTTCTTTTAAGCTAATCATGATTTGAGTATTAGAAATGAAATAAGTAGAAAATTTATTGGGGCAATAAATAGGAAACCTTGGGAAAGCAGTTCCTGCTTTTAAAATTTTTATTAAAAATATGTATATGTATGTTTTTCCAAACTTTCCTGGAAATAGCCTGTGCCTTCATATCACTGCCCATGTTTGAGTTAGACATTATTGCTTCCAAGTGCTGTAGGAAGTGAAAATTGGGTTGAGGCTGGCTGGCTGGTCCAAGGGTAATACCTGTATAACTTTATTTCTCTGTCATGTTTTGTGTCACAATTATTATATGCCACACTTGTGTGACCACTGTCACAAATGGCTACTCAGTGTATCTGCAGCCCTGCAATCCTTCTCTTCTCCCTAGCCATGAAAGTTAATTTCTAAATTCTTCAGAGACATCACAGTGAAAAATAGATAGCCCAGGGGCTGGAAAAGAGCATGGGGGATGATACAGGGAGTAAAGTGAAGAGAAGCAGAATAAAGAAATCAAGATGAACTTTTGGGTAGATTGACAGGAGCAGCTTTCTTCTGACATATGTCGGAGATGAAAGAAGAGAAGAGTAGAATCTCTTTGGAAAAAGGAAGATAGAAGTGAATGAATAGGAGTGCACTGAAATCCTGGCTCCAGCTGTTAGGGAGGGAAGAAACCCAACCCTCTCAAAGAGGGGGAGGGAGAAAAAGAAAAAGGGAGGGAGGGAAGTCTTTAAATTACTTAAGAGCCCCCAACTTCTGGTATTTCTTTCCTTTCCCTGACAGACTCTGTCCAGCTTGAGGAAGTCTTCCAGGAGGAGAGATCAGCTAGTTCAGGGGAACCTCAAAACAACAGGTAAAAATGAACACACAAAAAACTTTAAAGCAAATTTCTCTCATCCTGGAACCCTTAACTCTGACCTGTTTATACAGCTGTGACCTATCCTCTCTACCTGGGTTCCTGCGGTGGCTGGTGCTACCGTTCTCCCCGTAGAAGGGATATGCTGCTGCTGCTGCTGCTGCTGCTGCTGCTGCTGCTGCTGCTGCTTGCTGCTGCTTGCGTGGGAGAAGAGCGCATTTAAAAAGCGGCCACTTTCTCTAATTCCGATTCTTTTGTCCTTTCGTCACCAGCTGTGACCTAGACCACAAAAGGGCCACTTTCTATCAAGTTTGTAACGCAATTCCTAAAGCTCGGTCATTCCACTTTCTAAAAAGTTAACCCGTTGGGGCTGTTAGGGGGTTTTACTCTGGGCGCTCCAAGGCATGGGTGCAGGGCGAGGAGGAAGGAAGGGTAAAGAGAAGACGGGAGTAGGGGGTGTTAGTGTGCGGGGTTGGTGGAGGTTTTCAGGAAAGAGGAGACAACTGCGTGCGCCCTTCTGAGCAATTTAGATAAGATGCCCGGGGAACTGGGATGATCCTGGCTCCAGTCTGATTTCTCGGAATCCCTCCTTTCTCTAAGTTCAAGTTTTACCAGAAATAAACTCCACCCTGCCCCCTGAAGCGAAATCTCTTCTCCCCGGGTCTCATACAGTTCAGGGCTCTTGGAATTCCTGCAAACTGTCGTTTTTTGGTCTTTCATCTTCAAGCTGGTGGCTCCTTCTTTCAATTTCTTTCTTTTTTCTTTTGCTTTTTCTTATTGTGAACTTAATCCACAACAAAGACAAATCCTTTAATATGCAGACCCTCCTCCTTCCCATATCTCCTTTTCTGCACTCTAAATCAACAGCCTCTGACCCAAAGGTTTCCCCAAGCAGTAGAACAAAACCCAGTTGTGCCCTAGTGAATCCTAGCCCACTCTCCCCATCTATCTTCCAGATATCAGGCTTTCTCTTTTTTTACTCCCTTTTTCTCTCCCTCTTAAAACCTTCCTCTCTTCTTTCTCTTCCCAGTGGTCTATCTGTCTCTTCCCCTCTCTTCTCCCCCACCCCCAGCCATACAGTACTCATTTGTATCTGTCTAGCTTAACTATATGTTTAACATTCATTTAAAAAAAAAAGTACTAGAATATGTGTATGCAACTACTCTGAAGGAGTAGAGTCGTCTCCTTCAGAGTGATCACCTTGAGAAACTATATATTTATTCCAATGATGTTAATTGAAACCTTTTTGGAATTCCTCCTTCAAAATTTCATTTAGATAGCACTTCATTCAGTATACTCAAGGTGAAGAAATTACCGTGGTTTAATTAGTATAATGGTTTTCACGTGAGGCTTGTAGACCATCCCAGAAGATAATTCCAAAGGAAGCATTCCAGAAATGTTTTTGAGCAACACATTTGGAGGCAGAAGCCCTGGGATTGGATCTTATTGCCTACCTAGTGTGTGTCCTTGGGTGTATCCTCATCAGCAAATAGGAGATGATGCTACCTGCCTTGAGAGGCATTGGAATGGAATACCTAGGGAGTTGCCCTAGGAGATAGGACGAACTGTGTTCAAGTACTCTCTCTGACGTACTAGCTGTATGACCCTAGCCAAGTCATTCAACCTCTCAGTGTCTTAGTCGACTCACTAAGATTATGAGCTGAAGAACTGTTGCCGCTTCACTACCAATAAAATCACGGGGTCAGACACCAGTTCTCTGCTTCCCCTTCCCTCCAAAAGACCTGTTCCATTTACCTCATTTGGCTTGACAGTCAAATGATCAAAGAATTAGCCTATGTAAAATGCTTTATAAAATGTTAGGCACTATCAAAGTGACAGCTAAGTGTTGAAGTGGATAGAGCACTGGGCCTGGAGTTAAAAAGACTGGAGTTCAAATCTGCCCTCAGACACTTACTAACTGTGAGAACCTGGGTAAGTCACTTAATCTTGTAAAATGCCAAATGGGGTCGTGAAGAGTTCGACAGGATTGAACACAACAGAAGGCAAATTTGCATCCCCAAACTTTTATTTGGGGACAAAAGGCCATTATTTTATAAACTTGTACACTAATCCACAGCATATTAAATACATATTTAAGTTCAAAATGAATAAAAATTAAAATTGCCAAAATAACAATAAGGAAAAATAAAAACCCTGAGATTGAATGCTGTTTAATTATGACCAAACTTGATTCTGAAGAAGTCAGCAAGTATTTATTAAAGCCTAATGTATGACTGGCATTGTACTAAGGACCAGAAGAGTTGAGAAAATGAGTCCCTCTTTTCTTTGCAGAGATTGGGGACCATGGGTGTAGAAAGTTGCATATACTGTCAGATTAAATTGATGAATGGGTTAGTTTTACTGAATTGCTTTTTTCTCCCCCTTTATATTCTTTGTTACAAGAGATGGCTCTGAGAAGGTGAGAGGGGAGGACTATATTTGGAAATGAAAGTGAAGTAGAAATAAAATATATCAGTAAAAGAAGAATATTAAATCTAAAAGAATAAGAGCAGGACAGTATCTTTTCCTAGGACCATTCCTACCTGAACTCCATCAGGAAAGATGGAAATGAGCTGAGTAACAACAACAGTTGATATTTAATATTGTTCTCTTGAGTCATTTCAGTCCAGTTCAACTCTTCCTGAGCCCATTTGTCGTTTTCTTGCCAAAGATACTGGAGTAGTTTGCCATTTCCTTCTCCAGCGCATTTTACAGATGAGGAAACTGAGGCAAACAGGGTTAAGTGACTTGTTCAGGGTCAAACAGTTAGTAAGTGCCTGAAGTCAGATTTGAACTCAGGAAGATGAGTAGGTATTCCTGACTCTAGGGCTGGCACTCCATCTATTTCATCACTTAGCTGCTCACCTTCTAGGCTCACTGAGAGCATTTTAAAGATGTCTCCAGTAGCAGCCAGCATGATGGAGAGGATATAGACTTCTTCCTTTTCCCACAAGGTTTAGATTTCTTTTGTTGGGTCTCAATATTTTAAAATCTTTTTCTGCCACGTAACTTGGAGATCATAAGTATTTGTCATGGCAACACGTATTAAAAATATTACTCTTAAATTTTAACAGGTGAGTGTTGTGTGCAACCAATTGTGGGCTAAGGTTTTGTATGTGGTAATGCTCCAATTCCAGTACAGTTTGTTGTTGTTGTTGTTGAATTTTCAAGGCTATTTGAGCTCTCTGTTTGTAGCAAGGGCATTTGACATTTTATGAAAGGTGGTGAGTTTCTGATCTATAATTCTAGCCACCAGGTCATCTTGTTAGATATTCTGTAGGTACTAAATTTTTGCAACCTAAAGTGAGGTGTTGCATGGTTTCTATAGTATCCTTGCATTATCATCATCATCATCATCATCATCATCATCATAGCTAAAATATATTTAGCACTTAAAGGTTTGCAAAGAACCATACAAATGTGTCTCATTTGATCTTCACAACAATCCTGTGAGGTAGGAGTCATTATTCTAATCTTATAGATGAGGAAACTGAAGGTGAAAGTGGTTAAGGTACTTGTCCAGGATCATAGAACTGGACTATCTAAGGCCAGATTTGAACTCAGGTCTTCCTGAATCCACGCCTAGTGATTCATCCTCTGTTCCACCTAATCTGCATTAATTAATGTCTGGAATCTTTAAAGAAAACCCTTTTGTAATTATCTGGTGACAACCTGATCCCAAATTCTTGTGATAATCCAGTCACATTCAATTATTTTTCTACCTTGTATGTTTATGTATCCACATCACATATGTGAATGTATCTACATATATAAATAAAATCTCAAGAGACATAATGTCTTTGAGGAATGGAGGAAAAAATAACCCTAATTCATGAAATCTTTAGAATTTTTCATTTCCTCAAATAAGACCCGTTATGGAAATGTCTTCCCCTCCCCCCACTTTTCATGTTTTGACAAACACAAAATACCTTCTAGGCCCCTGGGGAGCTGTACTCCATCATTAAATTGACGCTTGTTGCTGTCTCAGTTTTTTTATTTATGTGAAACTAAAAATGAGTATCTCAAGTGCCATTGCACACTGATAAATCTCTCTCTATTTTTGAAACTCTCAAATATAACTCACTTCATGTATCTTTTTCTGTCTCCTTTTCGTTTCAAGGAGCTGATAAAGCTGACGATGTCTGAAGATACCACACAGGTCTTTTCGGGCAGGAGACCTCTGCCACCCAATAATTCTAATGGAGAAGAGAATGAGCTCCCCACCACGGAGATTGTGGGCCTCTTGCCCAGGGGAACTACAGGTATGACATGCATCATAACATAGTCCGAAAGCTGCCTGGCCCTGTGTCTCCTCAATCACAAAATACATGTCCTTTGCCACCATCTGGTTGTGATTCTTCTTGCCAAACAGAACAAGAATGACCAATCCCTCTTTTTCCAATCTACCAGTGAAAACAACTCTCTTTTCAAACCATCATGGCTGTTTTGTTAGTCTGACTTGTACCTCCTTCCTTAGTTTGTTGTGAATTTCAGTGCTAGGAAAGGTGCCAGACCTTGACAGGGATGGAATAGAAGCCCTTTATTTATTTCTAGAGCAAAAACAGACTGAAAAAAAAAAAAGGCAGTGCAAGCTGTTGTCCTCATCCTGAGGGAGTGGCTGGGGGAGGCTCCTTAGGACTGGTCACCCTCAGGGCCATTGGCCTTGGTGGTGGAATGATTTAACGACTGATCCTTGGGTGCTGCTCTGGAAACTTCTCTCTGATTCCTCTGGATGCCCCCTTGGTGCATCCCACGTTCAGTGGCTGGTCCTCATTCTCCCTGGTGGAACTTGATCCTTCCTTTCTGTTTTGCTGTTGAGTGTGGTTTGTGGTAGTTTTCACCAAGATGTGAACATTCATCTTACTGTGGTAGATCAGGATATTTACCCAGGGACTTTGTGGTCACTTCACCGCAATCAGAAAAAAACTTAACTGTTTAAAGTCATGAGTTGGCTACAGCTCTCTTTGCCGGAAAAAGGCAGAGGAAGGAGGAAAGGAGAGGAGTGATAGATAATAACTGACAAAAATATGCAGCACTTTAAAATTTCCACAATACTTTATGTACTTTATGAGTGGATTTAGTGCTAGATTTGGTATCAGAAGACCTCGGTTCTAATCCTGGTTCTGCTATTTACTACCTGGCCAAGACTCTTAACTTTATTGGGCCTCAGTTTCCTCACCTGTAAAGTAATTAAGCTAAATTCTATGACCTCTGAGGACCCTTATGGTTTGAGCTTCACAAGATCCCTGTGAGCTTACTGAGACTTATGGTGGAAGAATAGAGCACTGGATTTCATTCAGGAAGATCTGGGTTTAAATTCCACCACAGACAGATTCCAATTAAGTCTCTTTCTCTCATTCCTCATCTGTAAGTTGAGAGTGGTTGGACTGGATGGTTTCTAAGGTTTCTTCCAGTCCTGATCCTGTGATCAGAGCTATTTGTTGTAAAAGCACTTAGCACATAGTAGGCTCTATACAAATGTTTATTCCTTTCCCCTTTTCTTCCCTTCCCCATTTTACAAATGGGTAAACTGAGGCTTAGACATGTTAAGCCACGTCCCCATGGTCACCAAACAAGTATCATGGGTCTTTGTGACTTCAAGACCAGCATTCTATTATGCCAAGTGTCTCTCTTAATGCATAAAATAAGTCTCTGACATATTGATCATATCATAAGAGACAGCTTCCCAGGCCCCAAGGGGAGCCTCAATTGTGTTTTTAAATGGTATCAGAGATATATGGACTTTGTTGCCCCTTGACAACAACTCAGTGATGAAATCAAAAGACTTCCGGTGTTCTAGCAGACAGGAACACTTCCTTAGGTCTTGTTAGAGTGGCAGAACAAAGGGGAGGGTGGCTCTTATGTGGTTTTCTGTTGATGCCTTGAAGAAGGCTAAGAAGGCTTCTCTAACCCCAAATCTATCTCCTTCAGAAGTCTGCATGCCTTAAATTCTATCTTTTCTTCCATTTAAGAGGATGATATGTCTCTTTTCTCACAAAGACTAATCCCTCTAATTGTGCCTTAGACATCATTCCTTCTCCACTCAGCTCGGGTGTCCCTTAAAACTCTACCCTGGGCCCTTGTTTCTTTCTACATAGAGATGGTAGATGGCATGTTGTGTATGAGGTACAGTAAGAAGACCAATTTAGCCAGACCAAAGAATACATAAAGGAGAATAATATGTAATGAGGCTAGAAAGGTGTATTTTAGCCAGGTTATGAAAGGGTATAAATTCCAAGAAAAAAAAATTTACATTTGATCCCAAAGCCAATGGTAAACCACAAGAATATTATTAAATAGGGGAATGACATTGTCAGATGTGCATTTAAGGAAAATCATTTTTGCAATCTTGCAGAGGATGGGTTGAGACAGGGAAATCAAACTAGAGGCTGTTATAATGGTTCAAATGAAAGGTGATTGGGACCTGACCTAAGAAGGCAGTGCCTGCATGAGTAGTGAGAAGGGGTTACATCCAAGAGATATTGTGGGGTTGAAATGGCACAATTTGTCAGTTGATTGCCAAACTGGGGTGAGGGAAAGGGAAGAGTTGAGGATAGCATCTAATATCCTAATTTGTGCATCATCTAGTACCCATTCCTTCTTCTGATGCATTCTTTACCCAGCTGCCAAATTGTCTCCTTTAAGGTGTGGGATCAACTGAAACCCTGTCCTACTCAAAAACCCTTCAGTAGCTTTGAATGGCCTCCCCCAAAATGCAAACTCTTTAGCACGGCATGGAAGGTGAGATGCCATTCTGCCTTCCAGCCAAACTGGACTATTTGTGGTGCCCAGGACTCATGATACCATCTCCTGCCCTTATGCCTTTGCAATGATGTCTCTGATCCCTGTAATCAAGAATCAGGTCCAAAGTCTGTCCCTGACACTTACTAGCGGTACAACCTGGGCAAGCCACTTAGTCTTTCTCAGCCTCAGTTTTCTCATCTATAAAATAAGGATTTTAATAATGCCTGCCTTACAAGGTATTTGCTAGTTGAGTAGCTCTGAGCAAGTCACTTAGCCTTTCTTAGTCTCAGTTTCCTCACCTATAAAATGAGGATAATAGTCCACACCTTCCAGGGTTGATGTGAAGATCAAATGAAAAAATATATGCAAAGAACCTTGCAAACCTTAAAAAAAAACTATACAAATGAGAGCTATTACAAGAAATGTAAAGAAGAGAACAGAAAGATAAATTGGGGAACCCTAGAAATTTGCTCACTTCTTTCAGAATTTTGCCTGGCCCTGACAGTACATTGGTGAAGTGAGATCACTGTTAGTCATGAAACCCAAGAAATCAGTTGCCTAGAGCTCTTTTTTCTAAGGCCTGCATATGTGACTTGACAGAAATTGTGGTGCCTCAAACTTGAAGCCTAAGATGGTGTCAACAGCTCCTCCCCTGCCCCCCCAAAACAACCAGTTAATTCAGGTGACTCAGTTTCAAAACAAAACAAACACAGAAGCCCAGGCAAATAAACCCAGTCATAGGATTTCCAACTGGTTGGGACTTTGGAGGTCATCTAGTCCAGATTGAATTTAGAGTCATTTAAATTGATTGTTGTTTTGGCGCAATTGATTGACCTGTGCTCAAATGTAGCTCAAATGATTCCCTGAGGGATACATTCTCCTGAGGGATAAATGACCGATGGGACAGCATCATCACGTCCTCTAGAAGGGATTCCTATTCAGATGCTGGCTGGATCCAGATGACCTCTGAAGTCTCATCCACTTCTAAGACTCCGTGAAAGTAAATGTCAGAATTATCGGAGATCTTTAAGAAGCACAGTGGGGAATCCGGAATGGCTGGGCCCTGAGAACTGCTGCATGCTAACTTTTGTGAATAAGAAGGGTATAAGTAAGCTAATAGGCCCCTAACATTCAGACTTCTGTTTTGTGGTTAAAAATAATTAGCACTGTGGGTTTCCTGCTACTAAATATGCCCAATTTTCTCTAAGTCATTTCCTGCTGGTAAGATGTGAAGCTCACTCTTTCAGAACTTAATACATTATTCCTGTAGTTTGTTAGTGACCAAAAAAGAGAAAATATGCCTCTATCACCACGTGGACCTATAACCAGAGAGTATCATCAGTTCAGTTCAGTCATGTTGGACTCTTTGTGAGCCTCTTCAGGGTTTTCTTGGCAGAGATGCTGGAGTGGTTTGCCATGTACTTCTCCAGCTCATTTTACAGATGTGTAAACTGAGGTAAATAGGGTCAAGTGACTTGCTCAGAGTCACCCAGCCAGTAAGTGTCCAAGGCCAGGATTTGAACTCCTGAAGATGAGTCTTCCTGACTCTGGCCTGGTGCTCTATCTACTTCGCCACCTAGTTGCCCATCATCAGTATATTTCACACATGTTTCTAAATCTTCTACTCTGTATACTACACTATATTGATAAAAAAAGGTAATTATGATGCCTTCATGATGTCTTGCTCTCATGAAACTTACGGTTTAGTAAAAGAGATAAAACACATACACAAAAGCATAGAATCTGAGTGCATATTTAATGTACAAGCAATTGAAAGTATCTTAAGGAAATTTCAAGAAAGGAAAGTGATGGGGCAGCTAGGCATCACAGTAGATAGACTACTGGGCCTGGAGTTAGGAATATTAGGGTTCAAATACATCTTCAGATGCTTACTAGTTGTATAACCCTAGGCAAGTGGCTTGACCATTGTTTGCCTCAGTTTCCTCAATTGTAAAACGGAGATAATAATAGGCACCTACCTTACAGGGTTGTTGTGAGGATTAAATGAGCTATTTATAAAGCACTTAGTGCCTGACACATAGTAGGCACTAGATAAATACTTGTTCCCTTCACTCTAGTAAGTGTTTAATTAACACTCGTTGACTTGACTTGACTAGGTCCTCTGACTCCAGAATCAATATACTTTTGCTGAACCACACTTCAAGGTCACTAAGTGAGTCTCAGGCCCAGGATTCTCACTTTAGTTGTCCTGGTTCCAACTGCTACTTTCCAATTTCGAACTCTACCTCTAGTTAAATTTCATGACTAAATACATTAAACTATGAATTATTCTGACAAAGAGATAGTTCTATATGATGTCCTTCCATCTTAATAAGGCAATTCACCACACTCCACCTTCCCAATGTGATTAGAGTTAGAAAAAGAATTATAAAAATTCACAACAAATTGGGCATTTTTGCATGTCAAACATGAATATTTAGCTGACTACAATACAGACTTAGTCAGGTGACTTGCACTTTGGATAATCTACCTGCACTCACAAAGATACTTTTAGCTG